TCTCTTCGGGGACGTGGCCGGGAAGGCATCAGACTGGTCTCCCATCTAGGGGGCACCCACCCTTTGTCCATCAATCCTGTATTTGGTTTTGTCTCAGATAGCCCTAGCCCTGTCTCTTTTTATTTTCTTCCTTGTCATAATCGTTGCAGCCTGTAAGTTCTCTAGCCACCCTCCCCGTGGAAAGGAGTATTCCACCCCGGGAAGAGTTTTTCTGCCTGCGTTAGGTATAATACCTTTCCATATTCCTTTCTTATCCCTAACTACCCCACAAGAAGGTGAACCATGGGCAATCAAAAGTCCCGCCCAGACCCTAAATCGCCATTAGGGTGCCTAGTCCAAAATCTACCCAAACTGGGTCTTTCCATTAAAAAGAAGAGGCTGCTTTTCCTCTCTACCATGGCTTGGCCACAGTATTCCCTAGACAACCAGTCTAAGTGGCCTCCAGAGGGCACACTCAACTTTAATGTCCTAACAGACTTAGACAACTTCTGCCAAAAGGACAGTAAATGGTCCACGGTCCCCTACATGCAGGCTTTCTGGTACCTTCGCTCCCGCCCTGCCCTCTGCTCCTCCTGCACTACTGCCCAAGTTCTACTAGCCAAGGAAACTTCCTCATCGCCCTCTGGTCCTCCACCCTCCTCTTCCTCCCTTTCTGACCCTGACCCACCCGAAGAACTTTCCTTTCCATTCGCCCAACCCACCGATCCCCCGCCTTATGTGAAACCTCAACCCCCTCCTGCTCCTCCTCTTCCTAATCCCAACTTAGCCTCTCCTGTTAGTGCTCACACCCACTCATGCTGTACTCTCAATAAGACTCCTCTCCTATGCCCCCTCCACAAAGTAGCTGGAGCAGAAGGCGTTGTCCGAGTACACATACCCTTCTCCCTCTCCGATCTATCAGCCACTGAAAAACACCTATGGTCATTCTCCACCAATCCTACAGCTTATACCAAAGAATTTCGTTACCTCACCCAGGCATACGACCTAACCTAGCATGATACCTATGTAATTCTGTCCTTCACTCTTACTCCCGATAAGTGTGACCGCATTCTTACAGCGGCCTGAGCTCATGCTGATCAGGTACATCTCACAATCAATCAAATGCCAGTAGGCGCAGCGGCAGTCCCCCAGGGAGACCCTAATTAGGACTATCAAACCGGTCAAGATGGCCGCCGCCACCAAGACCAAATGCTACAGTGCCTCTTAGTGGGCGTGTAGAGCGCAGCTCAAAAAGTAGTTAATCATAACAAGTTAAGGGAAATAACTCAGGGTCCTAATAAAAACCCAGCTGCCTTCCTAGACCAATTAACTAATGCTATGATCCTCTATACCCAGCTAGATCCGGCCTCCTTAGCAGGGGCTACAGTCCTAGCCACCCACTTCATCTGCCAGTCGGCAGCTGATATAAGCAGGAAATTTTAAAAAGCTGAGGAAGGCCCCCAACTCCCATACGGGACCTGGTGAACACAGCATTTAAAGTTTTCAATGGCTGAGAGGAAAAGGCTGAAGCCACCCGCCAAGCCCATTTACAGCAAAAGGTAGGCCTCCAAACCCCAGCTCTTGTAGCAGCCCTGAGGCCGGCAGCCCACCAAACACCCAGTGGAGGGGGTCCATCGAAACCCTCCCAAAATTCTTCAAAGGCCCTGCCTGGGCCCTGTTTCAAATGCGGCCAGGAGGGACACTGGGCACTGCAGTGCCCCTGTCCTCATCCACCTCCTGGACCCTGCCCAAGCTGCAAGCAGACTGGACACTGGAAGGTTGACTGCCTGTCCCGGGCTGCAGGCTCACCCCCCACACCTCTATGTGGGGGGCAAGCTGGTCTGCAGGAAGTAGTCCCTCCGCTTGAACTCCTTGGCCTTCTGGACGACTGACGCAGCCTGGACTCCAGGACCCCCATCACCCTTGCCGAGCCCAGGGTAATGCTGCAGGTAGCGGGTAAATCCATTTCTTTTTTAATGGATATGGGGGCTACCTATTCTGTACTGCCTTCCTACTCAGGACCTAGAACACCTTCCCAGGTTTCAGTCATGGGGATTGAAGGAAAGCCCTCCTCTCCTAACCAAACTCGCCCCTTAGCCTGTGTCCTTGAGGGACATCCCTTCTCCCACTCCTTTCTAATCATACCCTCATGCCCAGTCCCCCTTTTAGGATGAGATATTCTCCACACTGTAGGGGCCACCCTCCAATTCACTGGCCACCCACATTCAAGCCCATGTTCTGCCCACCTTCTACTACTACTCCTAACCGGTATCACACCCTGTCTTGACCCCTCGCCTCAACCCCCTATCCCTCCTAATGAAGTTAATCCCTCGGTATAAGACACCTCCAAGCCTGTGGTAGCCAGACATCACACACCAGTTAAAATACTTCTCAAAAAACTCTACCCACTTTCCCTCACATCCTCAGTTTCCCATCTCAAAAACCCACCGCCAGGGCCTAAAGCCTATCATCACCCGGCTTCTGGCCCAGGGACTCCTTATCCCCACCAGTTCCCCTTGTAATGCTCCTATCTTACCGGTCCAAAAGTCAACCAGCAACTACCGCCTAGTTCAGGACCTGTGCCTCATCAACGAGGCGGTAGTACCCCTCCACCCGGTGGTCCCCAATCCATACACCCTATTATCCAACATTCCCTCCACTACCTCTCATTTTACAGTTCTTGACCTCAAGGATGCCTTCTTTACTATTCCCCTTCACCCAGAGTCTTACTTCCTTTTTGCCTTCACCTGGACCAATCCTGACACCAACCTGTCACAGCAGCTCACCTGGACAGTCCTGCCCCAGGGATTTAGAGACAGCCCCCATATTTTCGGACAAGGCTTAGCAGCTGACCTCAGCTCCTGCTCCCTCCAACCCAGTCTCCCTCTCCAGTATGTGGATGAACCTATTATTTGTAGTCCCTCCCTCTCTGTCTCAACAGCACACTGCCACTCTCCTTAACTTGCTTGGATCCCGGGGATACCGGGTATCCCCTGCTAAAGCACAATTGTCAGTCACCTCAGTAATCTACTTATGCATTCGCCTCACCCCCAAAACTAAAAGCCTAACAACCGACCGCCAGCAGGCACTTCTTTCGCTGCAGACTCCGGAGACTGCAGACCAGATTCTCTCCTTCTTAGGATTTGTAGGATACTTCTGTCACTGGGTACCTAACTTTGCCACTCTAGCTAAACCTCTGTATGTGGCGGCTAAGGACACAACCACGGGACCCCTCTCTCATCCTGGAGTTGTAAAACAAGCTTTCAAAACCCTACAAACTGCTCTGTCCAAGGCACCTCCACTTCAACTGCCCGACCTTAACCATCCCTTCTACTTGTTTACTGACGAGAAACAAGGTACTGCAGTTGGAGTCCTAACCCAACCCCTAGGCCCAGTGTATCGTCCTGTAGCATACTTATGAAAACAACTTGATCCCAAGTTAGGGGATGGCAGCCTTGCCTGTGGGCCCTGGGAGCGGCAACAGAACTTACCAAGGACTCCCTCAAACTTACTTTAGGCCAGCCTATCTCGGTGTTCTCTCCTCATCAACTGACCAACCTTCTCACAAATCTCTCGCTCACCTAGGACCCTCTCGCCTACAGGAGTTTCATCTACTCTTTATTAAAAATCCTTCGGTTAGCCTTCATCCCACTTCTCCACTCAACCCAGCCACTTTGTTTCCCCTTCCATCCCATTCTCCCTCCCCAGCCCATTCCTACCCTGAACTAATGAATGCATTTGCTAAACCTCAGGAGGCTTCCCCTATATAACCCCAACCTTACCTTTTAAGTAAATGGGAGTTCAACAGCGACAGCCGAGGGGCGGCAAAAAGCCGCCTATGCCGTAGTCACTGATTCAGCCACCCTTGAGGCATGTCGCCTCCCCGATAAAACCACCTCACAAAAAGCAAAGCTCACTGCCTTAACCCAAGCTCTCACCCTAGCACGGGGAAAGCGGGCAAATATCTATACTAATTCAAAGTATGCTTTTCTTATTACCCACTGCCATGCTGCCCTCTGGAGAGAGCGGGGATTCCTTACTACGAAAGAGTCCCCCATAATTAACGCTACCCAAATCTCTAATCTCCTACAGGCCCTAGCACAGCCCAAAGAAGTCGCTGTCATCCACTGCCAAGGGCACCAAGCCCAGCAAGATGCTGTTTCCTGGGGCAATGTAAGGGCAGATGCAGCAGCAAAATCCTTAACCAGTAACAGGCTAGCCCCCATTCCAGTCCTGTTTCTCACCACGGCCACACCGCTGATTTACTCGCCATCAGAGAAACAGCGCCCTCATATTAAAAGGGGGAACCGAGTCTGATCAAGGTTAGATCTTCCTAAACAACAAAATCACCCTTCCCCGGGAACAGGCCCCAAAAATTACTGCTAAAATCCACCAATCATTACATATAGGGCCCAAAGTGTTGCACCATTTCATGCAGCCCCTTTTGTTCTTGCCAGGTCTGCAAAAGATGACTGAGCAAGTACACAAGGCATGCGTTACCTGCTCTAAGGTCTCATCTCAGGGAGGCTTAAGGCCACAGTTTCCTACCCACCAAATGCGTGGCCACCTGCCAACCCAAGACGAGCAGATTAATTTTACCCATATGCCCACTCACAAAAAACTTCACTACCTCCTAACCTTTGTAGATACCTTTTCTAGATGGATTGAAGCCTCTCCTACCTCCAAGGAAACCACAGACATGGTGGCCTCCCTCTTTTTTTTTTTTTTTTGAGACAGAGTTTCGCTCTTGTTACCCAGGCTGGAATGCAATGGCGTGATCTCGGCTCACTGCAACCTCCGCCTCCTGGGTTCAGGCAATTCTCCTGCCTCAGCCTCCTGAGTAGCTGGGATTACAGGCACACGCCACCATGCCCAGCTGATTTTTTATAGTTTTTGTAGAGACGGGGTTTCACCATGTTGACCAGGATGGTCTCGATCTGTTGACCTCGTGATCCACCCGCCTCGGCCTCCCAAAGTGCTGGGATTACAGGCTTGAGCCACCGCGCCCGGCCGGCCTCCCTCTTAATTCAGGAAATTATCCCTTATTTCAGCGTGCCTGGAAACATCCAGTCAAACAACGGTCCAGAGTTTACAGCTCAGGTGGTCCAGCTGGTCGCCAAGTCTCTCAACATCTCCTGGAAACTACACATCCCCTACCACCCTCAGTCGTCAGGTAGGGTTAAACGGGCTCACAGCATCCTCAAAAATCATTTGGCCAAACTCACCATAGAGGTAAAACTCTCTTAGCCCACACTCCTACCTCTTGCCCTAGCCCGGGTTAAAGCCACCCCACGGAAGCCAATGGGTCTCAGCCCCTTTGAGTTGCTGTACGGCAGGCCTTTTCTAGTTTCTCACAATCTCCCGGTACAACCGCCTCCTCTGGCTTCCTACCTTCCCTACCTCTCTCTCCCGCCACTTACTCATGGAACACGCAGACCGTGCTCTCCCCGTGGTTCCGGGACCAGAGGACTCCCACTCAACTATACCTCTCCAGCCAGGTGACAGTGTTCTCCTCCGGGAACTCAAGCCAGGGTCTCTGCAGCCCAGGTGGTCAGGACCCCAAATCGTTATCCTAACCACCCTGACTGCCGCAAAACTTTTAGGCCACATCCCTTGGTACCACGTGTCCCGTCTCAAACTGGCTCCCAAAAATAATCAGTGGAAATCTAAACCCTTGGGACCCACTCGCCTCCGCCTCACCCGTAACCCCTACCTGTCAACTTCTAACCCTTCAAATTCTCCTCCTAACAATCCTTCTGGTATCCCCTCTTAAAGCCAACTCCTACTATGTCTGGCGGTTCTACCTTCAGGAGTTCTGGACAGAAAGCCCCACCACTAAAACCCAATACCTTGCCCAAGCAGATTGCCAGCCCGCAGGCTGCCAATCAGCCATAAAATTTAAATTCCCAAAATCCAAGTCCAATACTACCAAAAACTCCTGGAATAACTTTAGCCTCTGCTTTTTATACCAAACCAAAGACTCCTGTCATTCAAAAAATGATACCTATGGTGGATGCCCATACGCTTCTTGTGTTATACCCACAAACTTTAGAACTGACACCACCCCAAAAAGTTGAATGCTCTTCGCCAACAACCAAGGTAAAGTGTCCCTTATCATCCATGATCTCTGGGACGCCCACTGGAAAAGGGGTACGGCAGGTAAAATATACACTAGGTTTACAGACAGACGCCCCAGCGGTACCTGGCTAATGTTCCGGTCCTATACATGGATTGTACCTGTGGAAGTAGAGCAACTCAATTTGTTAAGGAATTCCATCTTACAAAATAGGGCTTCTTTAAATAACCAACTTAACCCCTCATTTGAACCCAGGCCCTCAAACAACGCCCCCCCCCAGCCTTTCTCCTGGCTAATTCTAGTACAGCAAGGGGCTAACATGTTAAATTTAACCGGGGTCACAGATTTCACCAACTGCTTTTTATGTGCCTTCCTTAAACCCCCCCCTTAGCCACAGTTCCCCTCCAGACTGGGTTCAACCTGTCACAATCTCCCATGGGGCCTGACACCATCTTAACGGGTATACCCTTGTTCAACGTACATTCTCAAAATCTCTCTCTCTGTTATGGGACAGCCAGCAGCCCCAGCCTCAGGTGCAACACCACGGTAGAAGTAAAATGCTCCCTTCACACACCTCCAGGAGGATACTTTTGGTGTAATGGAACCCTAACCAACGTTATTAATGCATCCCTCCCTTTCCCCTGTGTGCCCGTCACACTAGTCCCGCAGTTAGAAGTGTACGGACAAACTGAGTTCCTATCCCTCATCACACCGTCCTCTAATCACCGGAGCAAACAAGCAGTCTTCCACCCGATAGTAGTTGGCCTCTCTTTAGCATCCTCTCTAGTAGCAGCTGGAATAGGGAGTGGTGCCATGGGCTACAGCATCACTTCAGCCGCTCAACTAGAAGACAAGCTCCGTGTGGCTACTGAAGCGTCAGCCGCCTCTTTAGCCTCCCTCCAGCGACAAATCACGTCGCTGGCTCAGGTAACTCTCCAGAACCGATGGGCCCTAGACTTGCTAATGGCAGAAAAAGGAGGTACCTGTCTGTTTCTCCAGGAGCAGTGCTGCTATTACATCAATGAAACAGGCCTCATGGAAGAAAATGTCAACACTCTCTATCGCCTCCAAGAGAACCTCCACAGGAAGCAGAGCGCACCAGCCGAGTCTCTCAACTGGTGGCAATCCCCCATGCTTACTTAGCTAGCTCCCATTATCACCCCCATTATCGTTTTGTGTCCTCTACTAATACTAGCCCCTTTTTTTCTCAAGTTTTTACAGGCCCGCATAAAAGAAATTTCCAGGGTGGCCGTAAACCAGATGATACTTCACCCCTATATCCGACTCCCAATCGAGGCACCAGCCAATAGACCCCTCCACCTCACTCCGCCCCTATTGAGCAGGAAGTAGCCAGAAAGAAGCAGCGTCCTATATCATCAAAAGGGTTGGAATGTAAGGCCAGTTGCCTCAGGAGCTTGGACACGCCCATCCCTCTCCACGCCTGAAAATTACATCACCAGAATCTGCACTCAGCATCTAGCTTCGCCACACCCACCTCTGCACGCAACACTAAACTCTGCACTCAGCACCTAGCCAGCCGTTTGGAAATCCCCTCTGCACTCAGCACCAGGATCTGCACTGGACACTAAACTCTGCACTCGGCACCTAGCCCGCCGTTGGAAATCCCCTCTGCACTCAGCACCAGGATCTGCACTCCACACCAAACTCTGCACTTGGCACCTAGCCAGCCGTTTGGAAATCCCCTCTGCACTCAGCAGCAGGATCTGCACTGGACACTAAACTCTGCACTCGGCACCCAGCCATCCGTTGGAAAATCCCGCCGAAATTTAAAAGAAGCCCCACCAAAACCTGCCCAATAGTACATTGCCCCATCCAGCCCGCTCACCAGAAATCCCGCCTATCTACCTATAGCAGCTTGCTATGTGCACATCCTGTTTCTCCACAGCCAATCAGAGCGCCTTCCCTCCCTATATAACCCCACGCCTGAGAGGAGTCAGGTGCAACTTCTCTGGCCCCCTTTCCCTAGACCATAGAACCTTGCCTGGGAGCCGAATAAATTAGCGTCTAATTTTTCTCATGCAGGCCTCAGTTTCCTCATTTTAAACTCGGCGATAAACCTGACAGAAAATAAACCTTAAAACTTGTCTCACCAGGGCCACTGCAACAGTCCCTAAACATTATAGCTCCCTGTCCCTCTTCAGGCTTTTCTCAACACAGAAACCACAGTGATCTTCGTAAACACGTACCATCCTCCTTAGCTCAAAACTCTCCAATGTTCTGTCTCACCCAAAGCACAGGCCAAGGTCAACACAATGGCCTACAGGCCTTCCAACCTCACCCCCCAGCTTCCTCCCCACCTTCCCTCCACTCGCTGGGCTCAAACAGGCAGGCACCCCCTTGCCTGCCTCAGGGGCTTTGCACCGGCTGTTCTCTCTGCTGGCTTGGCCTCCGTCCCCTTCTCCATATCCACAGAGTTGACTTCTCCTGCAGAGTTTATGAAAATGAAATCCTACTTCCCAGAAGGCCTTCCCAAGCCACTCAACAACTTCCTAACCTGTTCCTTGCTCTATCTTCATAGTACTACTACTCTCTAGCAATTACGTTTTGCTTATTTGTTTATCATCTGCCTCTTGGCTACAAGGTAAGACCTTGAAAAGCAAGGGTTCTTGGTCTAGGCCTACAGCATCTGGCACACAGGCGATCTGAAAGTATCTGTTAAAGAATGAATGGGCCGGGTGCGGCGGCTCACACCTATAATCCCAACACTTTGGGAGGCTGAGGCGGGTGGATCACGAGGTCAAGAGATCAAGACCATCCTGTCAACATGGTGAAACCCTGTCTCTACTAAAAATACAAAAATTAGCTGGGCATGGGAGTGCATGCCTGTAGTCCCAGCTACTCGGGAGGCTGAGGCAGGAGAATTGCTTGAACCCAGGAGGCAGAGGTTGTGCTGAGCCGAGATCGCGCGCCATTGCACTTCAGCCTGGGTAACAAGAGTGAAACTCCGTCTCAAAAAAAAAAAAAAAAAAAAAAAAAGAATGAATGAGGCTGAATTCAGCATAAGACCCAAAGCAAGCATGAGATGACAGTGATGAGTGATAGAAGCTCTTCAATGAGGATAAAGAAATATATTTAATCTCCATCTAGAATAAAAATTTAAAAATAAATAAATAAAAGAGGCCAGGCACAGTGGCTCATGCCTGTAATCCCAACACTTTGGGATGCCGTGGTGGGTGGATTACAAGGTCAGGAGATAGAGACCATCCTGGCCAACACATGGTGAAACCCAATCTCTACTAAAATACAAAAAACTAGCTGGGCATGGTGGCCCACACCTGTAGTTCCAGCTGCTTGGGAGGCTGGGGCAGTGAAATCTCTTGGACCCAGGAGGCGGAGGTTACGGTGACCCAAGATTGCGCTACTGCATTGATGCCACTGCATTCCAGCCTGGCAACAGAGCAAGACTCTGTCTCAAAAAAAAAAAAAAAAAGAATGATGTAAACTGTAAATCTGCCATTCCCTCAGCTGGTTCAGTTTCCACACGTCGCTCACTGTGTGACGCTAAGATTTTAATTCAGTTTGGCCTCAAAGCCTAAGATCAGTATTTCATCTGGTGCCCAAATGACGAAGAGGCAATCTGTTCTCACACTGGAGGATGAAATGAATCTAATACATTTTTTGAGAGATGCTCTATAGGCAAGCATGGGGACTTTTAAGAGTACACAATTTTAGACAGACACCGTGGCTCACTCCTGTAATCCCAGCCCTTTGGGAGGCTGAGGTGGGCGGATCACTTGAGGTCAGGAGTTCAAGACCAGCCTGCTCAACATGGCAAAACTCCACTAAAACAAAAATTAGCCGGACAAGATGGCACACACCTATAACCCCAGTTATTTTGGAGGCTGAGGCAGGAGAATCACTTGAACCCCAGGAGTCAGAGGTTGCAGTGAGCCAAGACCACATCACTGTACTCCAGCCTAGCTGACAGCAACACTCCATCTCAAAAAAAAAAGTAGATAAGTTTAACTATATGTGATTTGACCTAATACTCTAATTTAAAATCTAATCCCACATACAACGAGAGTCAAATATGACCAGTCTTTGTGTCTTTTATTCTCCCCTTCACTACATACAATCTAAACTGGCTGTGCCTGGCCAGGTGCAGTGGCTCATACCTGTAATCCCAACATTTTGGAGGCCAAAGGTGGGCAGGTCACTTAAGGTCAGGAGTTCAAGACCAGCCTGGCCAACATGGTGAAACCCCTTCCCTATTAAAAAAAAAAAATTAGCAGGGTGTGGTGGTGGGTGCCTGTAGTCCCAGCTACTTGGGAGGCTGAAGCAGGAGAACCACTTGAACCTGGGAGGCAGAGGTTGCAGTGAACTGAGATCATGCCACTGCACTCCAGCCTTGACAACAGAGTGAGACTCTGTCTCAAAAATAAAAATAAACCTGCTGTGCCTGACAACCTCTAACCCTCAGGTGGTTGCTAGTGGCACCCATTCATCTGCATGTGGCCAGGGACAATACATTTATGCTGAGATGTATCATTTGAAAGCTCTTTCCCACGTTTTATTCTCATGTAATTCTCAAAAGACATGTATTTTTTGTTGTTTTTTTTTTGAGACGGAGTCTCGCTCTGTCACCCAGGCTGGAGTGCAGTGGTGCAATCTTGGCTCACTACAACCTCCACCTCCTCGGTTCAGCCAAGTCTCCTGCCTCAGCCTCCTGAGCAGCTGGGATTACAGGTACCCGCCATCATGTCTGGCTAATTTTTGTATTTTTAGTACAGATGGGGTTTCACCATGTTGGTCAGGCTGGTCTCAAACTCCTGACCTCGTGATCCACCCACCTTGGCCTCCCAAAGGGCTGGGATTACAGGTGTGAGCCACTGCATCTGGCCAAAAAATAAATAAATAAAAATGAATTTCAGGTAGATTTTTTAAAGCTAAATATGAAAAGTAAAATTTCCAGAAGAAAACCCAGTAGGATATCTTATTGATCTCAGGGTAGGATTTCTCAAGCAAGGCACACACACACACACACACACACACACACACACACACACACACACAAAACATGACACACTATAAATAAATAGATACTTCTGATGACATTTTTTTTA